CCTCCCAGCACTGCCACCGGGCTCCACCGTGTCTGTTCACTGCCTGCCCCCTCCTCACCCTGCCTGCCGGCCTCCCAGCACTGTGCCATCTGGCTCCACCGTGTCTGTTCACTGCCTGCCCCCGGGGGACACCGGGTCCACAAGGCCAGGGCCTCCTCAACACACCCTGACCCGAGAGAGCGCCCGGCCCACAACTGGGCCTGATGAGGTCATAATTTAGTAACTGAATCACTCAGTGTATTTTTTAATGAGTGAATGGACGTACAAATGAATGCCTCTGGGGACCTAACTGGAGGAAGAAAGGGTGGGAAGGTTTTTTATTACGGTCCTTTTAATACTGTCTGCCTTTGTTTAAAACTGCATGCATGCATTGTTTTGACAAAAGCAAAAAATTATTTTTGGAAATTCGAGTGTTCCTAAGGGAAGCCAAGTCTAGCAACCTACCAACCCACCCAGGGAAAACTCTGAGAACTCTTCCGGCCTTTTGTGTAGCATCTTTTTCCACAAAGACCCCAAAACCGAACAGTGGCTCTCGGGAGAAGGAAACATTAGTTCAGTGCCACCGTCCCGGTTCGATGTTACGTGGCAGGTCTTTGGTCCTTGAAAGAAATTAAATGTCTTAGTCTTAGAATTCTTTTCTTAAAAATCAAAGGTTTGGCTTTTCAAGCGAAACATTAGCATTTTAATCACTAAGATTAAGCCCCCTCCCCCCCTCTGCCCACCCCTTCCTCCTCACTCCCCCAAGTGTGAACCTGCTTGTCCCTTTATGGGGATGAAAGCTCCGTCTCCACGCTGGGAGAGAGCCGGGCAGTTGCTGCCCTTTGAGGGCCTGAATAGCTTCCTGCATTTATAAACGTCCATGAAATTCTTGAAGGGATTGAGAAGTGCCCTGTGCGAGGCTGCCATGAGAAAAGCAAAGTCGGGGTGAAAGCATGGCCATTGAAATGGCGAGGAGGTAGCGCGGCAGGGCCGCCACGCAACGCTTTGCCTGCATCCTGTCCTTCCAACTGCCGAAGGAGCCTTTGAGCCACTGTGTATAATTGATTCTACAAAAGTACCCACGTCAGAGCCACCTTTCTGCTCAGTATGCCGCATGCCGGTCACTCTAAATGCAAGGTCTCCCTGCTTATTAGATCTATCTGGTAAGAAAACAAAACATAGCTTCCTCTACGAAACAAAGATATTTTGCTTTAAAATGCCTTAAAGGAGCAGGAGTGTTTTGATGCTTTTACAAAATTTAGTAATCATACAAGGAAAAAAATCTGTTAGGAAAGGTGTCTTTGCTTTGTTTTTTCTGTTGTTTTTGAAAATATACAGAGCGAAACATACACAACTTCAACAGTTTCTCCATGTACAATTCAGCGACACAGATTATATTCTTCCACTTGTGCAACGCTTCTCACCCACCTTTTCTGAATTGTTCCTCCCCCATTAACATAAGCTCACTGCCTCCTAAGCTTCCTGCCTGACCCTACAGCTGCTGTTGACAGTTTCATCCCATAGGGATAGTTCTTCAAAAGAGCACAATGCTTAAGACAAACATCATACAAGGAAGGAGTTGTTACTAATAAATAGCACAGTATAACACATTTAAACCTTTTATGATATTTTCACCCTAGAGATTACAACTTAGGAAACCCTATAGGGCAGTTCTACTCTGTTCTGTAGGGTCGCTATGAGTCAGAATTGACTCAACAGCACACAACAACGATGTTTTCAAGAAGGAAAGCTTATAGTTTTAAACCAATAAAAGAAAGCATATGTTATTCCTGCATTTTACAGTTGTCCAAGTTTAAGCTGATGTACATTTCAGAAAATGTACTTAGCAAAAGCAGTGACCTTCATATGAGGAAACCATAAACTAGTTGGACGTTTGGTAGGCACAGACCTTACAAGCTAACCACAAAATCCCCCTTCTACAGGGTACCGGGCGAAGAATAACCTTGCAGATATTTACGACTTCACGATGATTTTTACATCAGTGGGGTGATACAGACAAGATATGCAGTGTACATTGTTCATCTGCCACTCATCTGTCAGTTTGCCGTACTGTGGGGGCTTGCGTCTTGCTTTGATGCCAGAAGCTGTGCCACTGGTATTTCAAATACCAGCAGGGTCACCCGTGATGGACAGGTTTCAGCAGAACTTCCAGACTAAGATAGACTAGGAAGAAAGGCCTGGAGATCTGCTTCTGAAAATTAGCCAATGAAAACCATATGGATCTCAACAGCGCGTTGTCCGACTCACTTGCTTTGGACATATCATCAGGAAGGATCAGTCACTGGAGGAGGACATCAAGTTTGGTAAAGTAGTTAGAGGGCCAGTGAGGACGAGCGAGACCCTCAGTGAGATGGATTGGCGACACAGCCATGAGGATGGACCCAAACATGCTGGCCGTTGGGAAGATGGCATTATTTTTCGTTCTGTTGTACATAAGGTCGTCATGAGTTGGAGTCAACTTGACAGCAGCTATCTGTCTCTCTGTCTGTCTGTCATACCCTGATTCTAATAAATCTCTCTGGCTGGCACCCACTCACCAGGAGAGATTATGCCGAATAAGGAAAGCACAGCCGCAGGCTCTGCGGCAGCCTCCTGTACGCCTACTCCCGCCCACAAAGGCCCCCAAGGCCGTCCTCTCCAATTCTTCACCCCTCGTTTTCACCCCTCAGCTCCAGGCTGGTCACCTTCCCTGTCTGGGTGGATGACACCCCCTGAACTTCAGGCCTCACCTCTGAGGTCTTCGTTAGACACCCTTCCAGGTGGCCCCCCAGCGTCTGGTCCGGTCTGCTGTGTCCGAGGGGTGGGCTGCCTCTCACGTTACCATAGTGACTCGGTTCTATGAAAAACATACCACCTTTGTGTCTTAATTTTAGTCTGTTTCTTATAAGCCCCCGTTAGCCTCTCCGGAAGAAATTTGGATCCTTTTGGCATCATCGTTTTCAAAAATCTGCCCCCACAACTTTGTGTCACCTATAGATGACCCTTCGCGTCTTCCTATCACAGACCTTGTCGACCAGCGACTGAAACAGGCCCGGCCCAGCCCACGTCCCCCTTGGCTTGCCGGTGGGGGGTGGGTGGGCCTTCGTGCCCCTGGAGGAACCCTAACAGGCTCTGCCCCAGCCCATCGTCCTGCTGAGCCGATGGTCCACAGCCAGGTAAGGCGGGCACGTCTGCCCAGTGTGCAGGGAGCACGTTGCAGGAACCATTCCCACCTCCAGAGACCTCCATTGATCCCCAGGGTCAGCGTCGGGCTCTGCCTGTCCTCTGTGGGCCCGACTCCCTTCTGAAGACTGAGCTACATCTTCACCTCCTGTCCTCCTGCAGTTGTCCTGGTCCAAAGCTTCCTTAGGTCACCTCTAAGATGACCACTCACTGATCCTCAGGGGCCTGCCGCTTCTGCCTTGCTGACACGTTCCTGATCTTTGGGTACAGTTGCTTTCTGAGTCACAGCTGTCCTCTGTGATTCGTCACCCCTCAGGAAGTGCCGGTTACCACTTACTGTCCAGTCGATCCCTTCAGAGTGACCCCATGTGTGTCAGAGTAGAACTGTGCCCCACAGGGTTTTCGAAGGCTGATTTTTTGGAAGTAGATCACCAGGACTTTCTTCTGAGTGCCTCTGGGTGGACTCAAACCTCCAGCCTTTCAGTTAGCAGCTGTCATGGATTGAATTGTGTCCCTCTAAAATGTCTGTCAACTTGGCTAGGCCATGATTCCCAGTATTATGTGATTGCCCACCATTTTGTCATCTGATGTGATTTTGCTATGTGTTGTAAATCCTATCTCTATGATGTTGATGAGTTAGGATTAGTGGCAGTCATGTTAATGAGGCAGGACTCAATCTACAAGATTAGGTTGTGTTTTAAGCCAATCTTTTTTGAGATATAAAAGAAAGAAGCAAGCAGAGAAACATGGGGACCTCATACCACCAAGAAAGCAGTGCCGAGAGCAGAGAGCATCCTTTGGACCAGGGTTCCTGTGCAGAGAAGCTCCTAGACCAGGGGAAGATTGATAACAAGGACCTTCCTCCAGAGCCGACAGAGAGATAAAGTCTTCCCCTGGAGCTGACGCCCTGTATTCAGACTTCTAGCCTCCTAGACTGTGAGAGACTGAATTTCTCTTTGTGTTAAAGCCATCCACTTGTGGTATTTCTGTTAGAGCAGTACTAGATGACCAAGACAGCAGCCAAGCACATTGTTTTCGTCACCAGGGTCTCCTCCTCAGAAGGAAGAGACAATCAACATGGAATGAGGGCAACTAGTGGGGCGAAGCTGCGAGGTCTCAGATTTTATCCTGGCACTAGCACTGTGAGGTGGTAGTATTTTCATTCCTGGGAAAAGGAAGCTGAAGCTGAGCAAGGCTAGATCACTTGCTAAGGTCCACAGCTGGTAGGTGGTGGGACAAGGGTGTATTAGTATCCCAGGGCTGCTGAAACAAAGTACCACAAGCTCGGCGGCTTAAAGCACCAGGAACTTCATGTCTCACAGTTCTGGAGGCCAGAAGTCTGAAGTCAAGGTGTTAGCAGGTCCTGCTCTCTCTGCAGGCTCCAGAGGTGGCTCCTTCCTTGCGAGTCCAGAGGAGGCTCCTTCCTTGCGAGTCCAGAGGAGGCTCCTTCCTTGCGAGTCTCATAGCTTCTGGTAGTTTCTGGCAGTCCTTGGCCTTCCTTGATTCCTGGCAGCCGCTCTCCAGTCTCTGCCCTGTCTTCACATGGCCATCTTCCCTCTGTGTGTCTCTCTCTGTCTCTCCTCTGATAGGACACCTCTCATGTTGGATTAGGACCCAATATGACCCCATGTTAATAACTGACATAATTCCTGTACTTTCCAAATTATTTTATTCAAACTTGAATTCTGTGCAATAGGATAGGAAGTTGGATTTGTGTTTTACATAACAATAACTGCTTTTGTTAACCTATGTATTGATTTTTTTCCTTTCATTTTCTTTTCCTTTATCTTTCTGGAATATAGATATCTGGAAGAACAAAGATGAATCTTGGAATTTCCCCCAGGACTATGATCCAGAACTGATCAAAGAGGAGAAACGGAAAGAATTAGAGTCAGAGATCAGGGTACAGGTATGGCTGCATTTATGTTGTAGTAATAGCAAGTGAATAACTGCAATGATGTGCTTTTTTTTTTTTTTTACAGTTTTCTACTAATGACCTTACCTCAAAATTTAAGCTATTTTTAAACTTCACAAAGAAAACATGAGGCATTCAAAGTCACTGAAAAGTGGTACGTATTTTGTATTCACCTAGGTTGATGAACTGATGAGGCAGGAACTAAAAAATTTAAAACTTGCTGTGGACAGAGAGAAGGAATTACCAGTCAAAGGAGGAAAGAAGAGAGGAGGTAAAAAGGTGAGTTGTGAACGAGTACGGGCAAGGGTGAGGCAAGTGGCAGATACCAATGGTGACGAGAAGCCCTTGCCCACGCAGCCCTTGTCCATGAGAGCCACCTGGGGAGACCAGCTGGCTGCCCCAGCACACCTCACAGGACTCATGCCTTCCTTTGGTAGGTTGACTTGTCTACCACTTTGCTCCCAGGGTTCTGGGTTCATAAAGTGGAGTAACTCAATAGCCTTAGCATAGCACTCCTTCTATCCATTGCAGAGTCATATTACCCAAACTCCATGGATAAGATGAAAACAATCAGAGGAGCCAAGACATGCACCCCAAAACCTGCCCATCTCTCCCTGTAGTTAGGATCAGTTGATCAATTGATTGATCGATGATAGATAGATGATGATAGATAGATAGTTGCCGTTGAGCCAGTTCCGACGAATGATGACCTTATGTACAACAGAATGAAACATTGCCCAGTGCTAGTCATAATCCTACTCATAATATCCTCACAATTGTCAGCATGTTCGAGTCCATCGTGGTGACCATCCTGCCAGTCTGTCTCACAGAGGGTCTCCCTTGCCCTCACTGGCCTTTTACTTCACCAGAACATGATGTCCTCCTCCAGCACTTGGTCCTTGCTGATGATGTGCCCAGAGCAAGCAAGCCGGACAATGTTCTGTATGATCCACAGGGTTTTCATTGGCTGATTTTCAGAAGCACATCACCAAGGCTTTCTTCCTACTCTGCCCTCATCTGGAAGCTCTGCTGAAACCTGCCCACTGTGGTGACCCTGCTGGTATTGGAATACCAGTGGCACAGCTCCCAGCGTCACAGCAACATGCAAGCCACCACAGGGTGACAGATGGGTGGTGGAGTTAGATCTATAGGGGAGGCCAGCAACAATGTTCTTTGGAAGTGGACGGATCAGAGCTAAAGGAATTAAATGAATTGAACTTTAAATTGGCACCAGATGCATCTCACAGTGGTTACAGAGTAGCTAGCTGGCTCAGACTATTCAATGTTGTCTCAGTCATCTAGTGCTGCTATCACAGAAATACCACAAGCGGATTTAACAAAGAGAATTTTATTCTCTCACAGTCCAGCAGGCTACAAGTCCAAATTCAGGGCATCAGCTCCAGGAGAAGACCCCCTTTCTCTATCAGCTCTGGAGGAAGGTCCTTGTGATACTTCAGTCTTCCCTTCATCTGGGAGCACCTCAGGGCAGGAACCTCAGGTCCAAAGGACACACTCTGCTCCCATCACTGCTTTCTTGGTGGTATGAGGTCCCCATGTGTCTCTGCTCTCTTCTCTCTTTTATATCTCAAAAGAGATTGGCTTAAGACACTATCCAATCTTGTATACCTCATCAGTAAAACTGCCGCTGATCCATCTTTTTACATCATAATGATTGAATTTATAACACATAAGGAAATCATATCAGATTACAAAATGGTACACAATTATACAATACTGGGAATCATGACCCAGCTAAGTTGACAGATATTTTGAGGGACACAATTCAATCCATGACAGACGTTCATTTACTAAAGCCCCTGCCTCCACTGCTATCCCAGAGCCAGCCCTGTCACTGGGACAAGAGCACTCAAGGTAGGTGACCAAGACGCCCTCTCCTGGGCAGCACTGGCATGAGCCTGGGCAGCCTTGGCCCCTTGGACGGCGTTCTCAAGCCCAGTGGCTGACGTCCCTCTTGTGACTGACACGTTCTCCTTTTAGCGGTGTTCATTTATTCAGCTGCTTCAACGTCCAGTTCCACCGGCCCAGGGGCCTTGTGCCGTCTTTACAGTGACTCTGCACTGATCCGTTTTGAATGGACTTTCCAGTTTATCTCCAAAGACCTCTGAATTTCCCTCCTGGCCCTGATCTCAGGATACCCTCTGATGAAGGTCATCCAAAGGTCACCTTCTCCCTAATGGGGGCACCTATTGCTGCCACCCATTTGCTCCATTGTTGTTATTTGTTACCATCAAGTGGATTCCAACTCATGGCGACCCCATGTTTGCAGAGTAGGACTGTGCTCCATAGGGTTTTCAAGGCTGTGACCTTTTGGAAGCAGATTGCCAGGCCTTAACTTCTGAGGTGCCTCTGGGCAGATTTGAACCACCAACCTTTCCGTTAGTAGTCGAGCTCTTAACCATTTGTGCCACCCAGGGACCCCCATTCACTCCTTTAATGTCTTCTAAGTTCAGTTTCCACATCTGCAGAGCTGGATGTTTGGATGACCGAGCATGGATATCAAGCTGGCAGTGGCCGTGTTCCGGTGCCTGAAAACTGGCTTTCTCCTTTTCACCAGCACGCTAGCCATCAGCCTTGACTTCCTCACGGTTCTCTCATCTCTTTCAGTCTGGGGTCTACCCTCTGTGTTCCAGGGCGGGGTTGCCGTGACTGTCCCTCTTGGAATCACGTGGGTTGAATGCTTAATAACGGACGACCTCAGGGTCATTGTGTAACTATAGAGTTTTGAGCATCCAAATTCCAATCTAAGTGACCTCGGTAAGGTCTTGGGAAGCACAAAAGGAATAGGACTTGATATAAGATGTGTGATGGAAGACGAGAGAGGAAGGGAGGTGGGGGCCAGGCTGAGGGATTGTCACCTGATCCTCTGGGTGATGGGGAGGTAACCAAGCCAACCCTGTTGCTATCAAATCGACTCCAACTCATGGTGACCCTACGTGTCAGAGTAGAACTGTGCTCCATGGGGTCTTCAAGGCTATGACCTTTTGGAAGCAGATGCAGATAGATATTTTAAGCAGAATTGTGAAGCGATCAGAGCTGTTATAAAAAGTCACAGGGGGAACACATTCCTGTAGGCTGTGCCAGGGTCTGAGTCCAGAGCCCTTGGGAGCCAGAGGTTAACAGGGAGCACTGACCGGGTCCAGGGACAAATGCTGGATCCCCTACGTGTGCACGGGGCACCCCGCCCTGGCAGCACTCTGGGCCAACACCAAGGGAAAGCCGATTGCTGGGCCTGGTGGGAATCTGGCCCCGTGTGGTCCCACAGCGGAGACCTCACCTTCTGTCCACGCAGGATGTGTCCTTATCATCATCTGATGACTTTGGGTGCCAACCCCTGTGCCATGGACACACGGCACCTCCACGTTCGGTGTGCCACAATTGACTCTTACTTTCTCCCACCCCCACTCCGCCCCAGAACACAGCCAGTCTGCTTCCTTGTTTTACTAAACTGCTGGGTATTCCCCATCTTCTTTCAGAGAAAGAAAGGGAAGAAAGGCAAAAAAGGGAAAAGGGGGAAGAAGGTTAAAGATCTGACCGCCAACAGGTAAGGAATGCGCTCATTTTGCTGTAAAGCAAGTGATAAGGGAGCAGTAGGGGGAGGGAGGGAGGAGCAGAGGAAACCCCAAGAAGCAGCCCTCGCCCTCGGGGGAGACACACTGGTGTGGTGTAAGGTGGGCAGGGAAGCGCCTTGGCCAGCTATAAAACCAGGTGCTGTGGAGCTCACTCCAACTCACGGCAACCCCACGGGTGTCAGAGTAGAACTGTGCTCCACGAGGTTTTCAATGGCCAGTTTTTTTGGAAGTAGATCATCAGGCCTTTCTTCCAAGGCACTCTGAGTGGACTCGAACTTCCAACCTTTTGGTTAGCAGGCGAGCGTGTTAACCATTTGCACTATGCGGGGACCCCGCGGGCCGCCCTGTAGAAGAGCTGGTGTCCTGAACCAGAAAGAAACATGTCAAAGGCATAAGCCCAGAACCCATCTTGGGTCCCTTCCTGCTTCAGAGTTCATGTGACTTATTTTTTTTTTTAAGTTTTAAAATCTGCAAGTTTTCTTAAAATTTTAGGACATAATATCCTGATCAGACTTCTCAGGAAACACCCAGTCTGAGTTCCTTGAGGGCAGAAAAGGTCCCACTTACCTTCACGCCCCACCCCAGCCCGTGGAGGCCCATAAGAAACACCTGTTAAACCGAAAGGGCTGAGGTGTAGCCTTGTAACGGAAGAGTTCCATCTCCTTGAGTTTCATTGGCCGAATTCCAATCCTAATGAAGAATTTTAAATGCTCTTCTTCTTTTTTTAAGTTGAAAATGGCCCTTAAGTGCTTTAACATTGAAAAGAATACTGCCTAGGTTTTCAAATATTTCCAAGGAATTTAATTAAAATCCCAAATGAATGTATGTCAGAACTCATTTTGATTGGATGCCTTTCATCCAGTGGGACTTGTTAACGAGCCACCGCAATGTATCACTTGCCTGTTTTGGGGTGCCCCCAGCCCCCCTTTTGGCTCTCAGTTACACACTTGCCAGACTGCTGGAGGGAAGGTGCAGGTGTCAAAAACCCAAATGCGCAGAAAAACACCAAAAACTAGTGTAACAATGTACTTATTGCAAGTACATACGATTTGAATCAGACTGCGTCAACCCAAGGATTTCGGGAAGGCGCTCTGGAAGAGGGGACAGAGAAAGCAGGTTATAGAGGTGGGGCCCAGACCGGGTGGCCTCCTGAAGGTCATTGTAATTCTCCAAAGGAGCCCAATGCCTGAGGCAAAATGCGCTTGGCTAAGCTGCTTCCCAGGCTCCTGTTTGACTGGAACGTGACTTTAGCAAACGGCTCCTTGAAGGCTGACAGTTCAAAAGGACGCCTAAGGGCAGATGGCCTGGGTGGGTCTTCCCAACTCCATGGACCCGGAAATCTGGACTCCAGGAGAATGAGAATCTCCCAGGAAAGAGGAAGGCCAGGCTCAGCTTAGAATCTCCTGAGGGGAGAGCCCAGCGTGAGCCCAGCACAGGTCTGCAGACACCTTGATGAGGCCAGCACCCCGGCTGGTGCCTGTGCACGGAGCCCCGCCAGGCTGTTGTTGCTGGGTGTCATCTTGTGGATTCCGACTCACAGCGACCGCATGTGACAGAGCAGAGCTGCCCCATAGGGTCTTCTAGGCTGCAGTGTGCAGGAGCAGATTGCCAGGTCTTTTCTCCCTCGGAGCTGCTGGGTGGGTTCAAACCACCGACTTTTCGGTTAGCAGCCAAGTGCTTAACCTCTGCGCCACCAGGGCTCCTTAAAACCTCTGGAAGAACAGCAGCCGGGGGGGGGGGGCGTGGGCTTTTGACTCTTTGGAAGGGGCTTCAGTGTCCTCCCTGGAGGCCCCATTGTTTGCGGGGAGGTTCAGGCCGGAAGGCTCTGGCCGACCTGCCTAAGAGGGGTCTGTCAGCACTGAGACCGAGGCTCACCAGTTCCTGGGAGGAAGATGCAGGCCCCTTTCCTGAAGAGGGTCCATCCCCTACATACACATAGTGTGACATGTTTTCCTTTGTTCTTACATTAGTCCCAAAACACAGTGAAGTCTTCCAGATGAAGACTGAGCCAATGACAAACCAGAGCTAAAATCTGATCTACTAATATGGCCCTGGTTGCACAGTGGTTAAGAGCTACAGCGGCTAACCGAAAGGTCAGCAGTTCGAATCCACCAGCCGCTCCTTGGAAACCCTGCGGGGCAGTTCTACCCTGTCTGATAGAGTCACTATGAGTCAAAATCGACTTGACAGCCACAGTTTTTTTTTTTTTTTTTTTTGAAATACGGCCCTGGAATCCCTGGGCTGCCCGAACGGTTAAGCACTGGACTACAAGCTGAAAGGTTGGTGGTTCAAACCCACCCAGAGGCAAACCCTACGGAGCAGTCTGCTCTGCACACATGGGGTCCCCATGAGTTGGAATCCACTCGGACAGCAACTAACAACATGACCCTGCTGCTAAGTTAAAATTATTCCCTCGTGCTCTCCTGCATTTGCGGCATTGCCTTCCTATGGCATAAAACTCTGCTCTGCTTTCACAGCGCGGGCATAGCCCACAGACAGACGTGGAGTCTGCTCTTGGCGTGTTCCAGCTGAGCTCTGAAAACCAGCCTCAGGCAATTCTCCACAGAGTGAGAGGCCAGTATTTTAGTCACTTTCATGCCCTGAAGAACAGACAGGCCTGGTCATCTCATTCCTGAAAGACTTTTCTCTTTCATTTTAAAGACCCTGTGTTACTAGGCTGGGGCCCTGATGGCGCAGTGGTTAAGCGCTCGGCTGCTATCCGGAAGGTTAGCAGTTCGAATCCACCAGCGCTCCTTGGAAACCCTGTGGGGCAGTTCTACTCTGTCTGTCCTACAGGGTTGCTATCAGTCGGAATCAACTCAACGGCAAGAGGTTTTTTTTTTTTTTTTTTGGTTACTAGACTAGGGCTAGTTCTGCCACGATACTGTATGATAGATTCTGTTTCTCTCATTAAATTAGTATAACCCTTAAACCAGTATTTTTATCATAGGTTGAGGCAGTTTTAAGGTCTAAAAATGTTCTATTCCATAATAAAGTTTTAGTTCACTGGGAAGATAGAAGTATAGGTTTATGCTCAGGGCATCCCAATATAATTTGATTTGATTATTTTAGAGAAACTTCTTCAATTTTACATGAACATTTTATGCTTATGTGATATGTGTATATTAAATGAGTATTGAAGTTAATACAGCTCAGGTACTGTTATCCCAGGAGTCTTGGCAGCGCGGTGGTTAAGCACTCAGCTGCTAACCAAAAGGTCGGTGGTTTGAACCCACCAGTGGCTCCTTGGCAGTAAAGACCTGTTGATCTGCTCCTGTAAAGATTACGCCTTAGAAACCCTATTGGGCAGTTCTGCTCTGTCCTACAGGGTTGCTATGAGTTGGAATCAACTGGATGGCACCTAACAACAAGTGTTATCCCAAATTCCGTTACTGGAGCCTCTTACCTCCTGTTTCATAGCCGAGTGGGTTGACCATTTGCACCACTGAGGAACTCGGCTTCCACAAGACACCACACACTTCTTGGTTCTCAGCATCAGGCACACTATTTTGAATTCATTTGATAGAACACCATTGCAGTCAACCAAGGACTGGGGTCATTGTTACCATTCATCTTGATGGTGTTTGGTGGGAGTCTAAGTGAAATTGGGGGCATCGCCACTTACACGGTGAAGTTAGGATGGCAAGAATCGAATTCAGTTCCATGGATCCCTGGGAGAGAAAAAACAACGTGGGTGTCTTTCAATCACACTGACCTGGGTCATAGAGTAGATGAAGAACAGTTTAAATAGAGTTACATTTACAACTCTCAAGCTAAAGAAAGACTAGGGTAGGGCAGAAGAGCAAGACCCCTGGAAATGGAAAAGGAAAAAACAAAACCTCTCAAAAAACTATAGTGAGCAATATTTGAGCCTGACCTATCAGAATCCCTACAAGCCAAAGTCCAGTTGATGCCATTGGGAGGTCCATGGGTCTGGTGGGAGGCTATGTCCATTGTTTCCTCAATCAGTATAAACTCAAACCAGCGGGCTCTCTGGGGGAAGTGGTTTAGACATGTGTCAAAACTGGGGCAAAGTGTATCAGCCTTCTAAAAAATAATCACACTTCTATCTTCTGTATAATTGTGTCCACTGTAAACCTTTGTTCTTTATGGATATTTCTTTTAAACTACTATGCTTTGGGGCTAAAATGAAACATAAATTTCATGAAGGACTCATGACCTACTGCTGCTTCCAGATGCTAACTGGATCCATAACTACAGGTCCATGGTGTCACTATTATTGGGTAATTTCTAATTCATATTTGCGCCATCAGGAAGACTGATGAGAGAGCCGACTAGGAGTTACGGCTGGCCCCAGACGCCCGAGGACATAAGTCTTATTAATGGCAGACATCACTTGCACACATAGATGAGTCAACCGATCGTCTTTAAAAAACCTAATTTATCCCCAAATTGTAGAAACACTTCCAAATACCACTTATTTGCATGTGTTCAAACGTACTTTGAAATAGAGCTGGTTTACGTTCTCCGTATATACGTGGTGATTGCCCAAAACCCTGCTGCTTCTCCGTGTGTGCTCATGGGAGACCCGTCTGCTTGATCCCTAGGAGCATCGAATCCCTGTACAAGGAACTAGTGGAGGAAGGGCTGCTGATACAGGCGCTGAAAGTCAACCTTTCTGATTACATCGGTAATTACGCAAAGAAGAGCCCGTGTGCCACGTGTCACCCCTCACCTTTTGAGGTCCCAGCAGCTGGAAATAGGTTTCTTTGTGGTTTTGTCCAAACCAAGACCTGGCTCAGCGAGGCTTCTAGTAAATGTTTGTTAGATTCAAGTGATTTGAATAACTTAAGAGCAGGCTGCGAATTACTGGATTCTCTTGATTAAGTGGGTCCGTCTCTCGCCCCTTCTGTGGTAGAAGCAGGGTTTTGGACCTGCTAGCAAGATTCCCTGGGGCTTTTTTTCTGGCATAAGCTTGAAGGGAGGAGACTTGCTTGTGCTTTCCTGTTTAATTATATGTAACGGCCCCTAGGGGGCAGCACCGGTGCTTCTACAGCCAGTAACCCATTGCTGTGCAGTTGACCCCGACTCCTGGCGACCCCACGTGTGTCAGAGTAGAACTGTGCTCCATAGGGTTTTCAATGGTTGTGTTTTTGGAAGTAGATCGCCAGGCTTTCTTCTGAGGAGCCTCTGAGGGGACTTGAACCTGCAACCTTTTGTTTAATAGCTGAGCGTGTTAAATGTTTGCACCACCCGGGGACTCCATTTCCACAACACAGAGGAGGGCTTTCACCAGAAGAGCCCATGACAGAAGTCACTGGGAGGAAGGAGGTGGTGACATTAGCTATCTTACTCTTCAACTGATGTCTTTCCCTTAATTAAAAACAAAACTACATCATGACACCCTGAAGGCACACCTAAAGTTTACAGTTCCTCAGAATCCTTCCCCCCAAATGCAGACATTGTTACTTTCACGTATCCCCTGCGAACAACAACATTCTCCTACACAGTAGGATCATCACACTCAGGAAATTTAACATTGATGAGCGATTATTGCCTCATATCCGGGAGCCCTGGTGGCACAAGGGTAAGCGCTAGGCTGCTAACCAAAGGTCAGCAGTTCCAGTTCAACCATCGGCCTCAAGGAAGAAAGACCTGGCGATCTACTCCCATAAAGATGTTGTTGTTGTTAGGTGTCGTCGGGTTGATTCCCACTCTTAGCGACCCTGGGTACAACAGAACAAAACACCGGTCCTGCACCATCCCCACAATCCTTGCTATGTTTGAGCCCATTGTTGCAGCCACTGTGTCAATCCATCTCATTGAGGGACTTCCTCTCTTTCGATGACCCTCTGCTTTACCAAGCAGGATGTCCTTCTCCAGGGACTGGTCCCTGCTGGTAATGTGTCCAAAGTATGTGAGATGTAGTCTCACCATCCTCGCTTCTAAGGAGCATTCTGGCTGTACTTCTTCCAAGACAGATTTGTTCATTATTTTGGCAGCCTAGGAAACCCTATGGGACAGTTCTACTCTGTTATATAGGGTATCTATAAGTCGGAATCGACTCGACAGCACCCAGCAAATGCAGTCAATATTGAATTTTGCCAAGAGTTCTAATAACGCCTTTTGTGACTGTTTGTCTTTCTCAGTTCAAACTCCAGTGAGGATCATACGTGTGATTGTCCTGACTTTCTAGTCTTCGGCCCCTTTAATCTAGAACACTGTCCCAACCTCGAATTTGGCACTGGGGAGGCAGCCAGCTGGAAGAGAGTTTGGATGTCGGTGATCACAGGATTATTGATCATCAGCTCCTCCCAGCCCATTTCTGATTTTGGAAGAGAGCACCCTAGCCTGCAGTTACCTTCCCCAGCCCAGACGTCTCACATCAGGGGAGTTAGATGTCGTGCCCCTGCGTGGCACAAATGGTTAAGCACTTGACTACAAACCAAAAGGTTGGCGGTTCAGACACAGCCAGTGGCACCTCCGAAGACAGGCCTGGCTATCTGCTTTCAAAAGGTGGCAGCCAGGTCACAGTTTTGAAAACCCTATGGGGCAGTTCTGCTCTGTAACACATGGAGTTACCCCTTTCCCTGGTCCAGGGGCATCTCCTCCCCCTCCCCGCTCCTCCCTGGTCCAGGGGCATCCCCACCTCCCTTCCTCTCCCTGGTCCAGGGGCATCCCCACCTCCCCTCCTCTCCCTGGCCCAGAGGCATCCCCCCTCCCCTCCTCTCCCTGGTCCAGGGGCATCCCCCCTCTCCTCCTCTCCCTGGTCCAGGGGCATCCCCACCTCCCCTCCTCTCCCTGGCCCAGAGGCATCCCCCCTCCCCTCCTCTCCCTGGCCCAGGGGCATCCCCACCTCCCCTCCTCTCCCTGGTCCAGGGGCATTCCCCCAACCCTCCTCGCCCTGATCCAGGGGCGTCCCCACCTCCCCTCCTCTCCCTGGTCCAGGGACATCCCGCCCCTCCTCTCTCTGGTCCAGGGGCATCCCCGCTCCCGTCCTCTCCCTGATCCAGGGGCGTCCCCACCTCCCCTCCTCTCTCTGGTCCAGGGTTATCTCCGCCCCCCCAGCCTCCAAAGCTGCCTTTGAGTCTAGGATGCTGTCCTTTATCTGAGCTGCCTCAGTTTCTTCAACAGTAGACTGTGGATAATGAGAGCAACCACCTCATTAGATTGCCGTGAATGTTAGACGATTCGTCAAAGCAGTGCGCTCCAGGACATGGCTGGCATCAACTGCCTTCAAGTCAGCTCCGACTTACAGTGCCCCCATGTGTGTCAGAGTAGAGCTGTGTTCCATAGGGTTTTCAATGGCTGACTTTTTGGAAGTAGATCACCAGGCTTTCCTTCCGAGGTGCCTCTGGGCAAACTTGAACTGCCACCCTTTGAGTTAGCAGCCTAATGCTTAATTGTTTGTGCCCCCCAGGGGCCCCTATGATGCTTGGCGCAGCAGTTAGCAATTGTCCCTGTTATTTCTGTTGTTATCACCCAGTCACTGGTGGCTCAAGGTTTTGCCAATAAGAGGAAGGGCTGTGATGTCACAACCTCTGCCCACCTCCCTCCCTGTCCATATCACAGAAACACAAGCCAAGAGAGTGCTGGTCTCCTGCTAGAGGGGAAAACACAGAATGAACAGGAATCAATATTCCCCTAAATCATCTGGCCACACCCAGGGTTCAGTAACTGCTGCATTTGATGGGGCCCTCGACCGTGGCCAGGGCAGTGTTCTTCTCATTCTCCTTGCCGTTCATAGCCTAGAGGTCTAAGACTGAGCAGGTTCATAGCCTAGAGATTTGAAGACTCAGCAGGTTCATAGCCTAGAGATGGGAAGACTCAGCAGGTTCATAGCCTAGAGGTCTAAGACTGAGCAGGTTCATAGCCTAGAGATGAAAACACTCAGCTGGTTTGTAGCCTTTCGTAGCCTAGAGGTCTAAGAATCAGCAGGTTCATAGCCTAGAGGTCAAAGACTCAGTAGGTTCATAGCCTAGAGGTCAAAGACTCAGTAGGTTCATAGCCTAGAGGTCAAAGACTCAATAGGTTCATAGCCTAGAGATGGGAAGACTCAGCAGGTTCATAGCCTAGAGGTCGGAAGACTCAGCAGGTCCATACCCTAGAGATGAGAAGACTCAGCAGGTTCATATCCTAGAGGTCAGAAGACTCAGCAGTTTCATAGCCTAGAGATGGGAAGACTCAGTAGATTCATAGCCTGGAGATGGGAAGACTCAGCAGGTTCATACCCTAGAGATGGGAAGACTCAGCAGGTTCATAGCCTAGAGATGGGAAGACTCAGCAGGTTCATAGCCTAGAGATGGGAAGACTCAGCAGGTCCATACCCTAGAGATGGGAAGACTCAGCAGGTCCATACCCTAGAGATGGGAAGACTCAGCAGGTCCATACCCTAGAGATGGGAAGACTCAGCAAGTTCATAGCCTAGAGATGGGAAGACTCAGCAGGTTCATAGCCTAGAGATGGGTAGACGTCATAACCTTAGAAGATATGGTATCCATATTTGCATATGGAAAACGCCTGAACTTTTGGAGTAGGTGAGTACCCTGACATGTACATGATCTTGGCAGAGGTGTTGCAACCAAAAGTTAACCTGTGATCATCTCTCTGTTAGATGACATTTTAGTCTCATCTGGGAAGCCGGATAGCCTGCCTTAAATATAATCCTTCACTATCTCCAGAAAATTCTAGAAACTCTCCAGATAATGCCCCTGAATTTTAACACCCTAACACTGTGTCGTCATCCTTGTTATTAGAAAACCAGTGACTGGTTACCATTTAGTCAACTCTGACTCACAGTGACCCCATGAGCGTCAGTGCGAACTGTTCTCCGTAGAATTTTCAACTGCTGTGATTTTACGGTAGTAGATCACCAGACCTTTCTTCTGGGGCACCTCTGAGTGGGTTCAAACCAGCAACCTTTTGGTTAGCAGCTGAGTATGTTAACCATTTGCACCAGCTATTTGCAGTCACTGCAGTTGGAAGGGTGGGCAGGAGGACAGTAAATGATGCCCAGGCCTTGTTGGGCCTATGATCGTTCACCCCATTTCTTTGTAAGCCTTATATAAGAAGCTAATCGTTTTTTATATATATAAGTTGTCCCGTTATTCATTCTCTTTTTAATTCTTGTGCTGAGTAGAATAGAAACCTAAGAGGGGGGTTCCACTTTTATTTCTCAAGTCCTTGTTTTTCGGCTATGCTCTTGTGTTCTTGTTCAAGTATCTTACCAGATCCGTGTTCCTCTTCTTTCCAGTGTTCCAGCTTTGCTAGTCTCTTTCATGCCCTCTGCCTGAAATACTTTTCCTTCTGCCATTTCCTCCTTCCTTCTCTTGTGGAAGACGCAGTGTCTCTGCAGGAATCCTGAAGTCTCTAAGTTCTAAATGAGTGGGCGGAGTCCCTGGGTGGCACAAACTCAACCACCAGCGAAAGGTTGGCGGTTCAAACCCACCCAGAGGAGTCTTGAGGCCTGGCGATCTGCTTCTGACAGGTCACAGCCTGGAACACCCTGTGGAGCAGTTCCACAGCAACCGACAGCAATGAGTGGGCAGGAAGGGTTTTACAGCCCCCACGCCAGGCAATCACCAAGCACAGTAACGTGTCTTCCCGAGACTCGGCAAATGGCCCAGGCCGGCCCTGCCCTGCACTATACCAGATACAACACCCACTAATTCAATTCAGTACAATTTGTTTAAATAAAATCTGTTAGGCTGTAGAAAATACAGCGCATCTGGATATTAATATGGATTTACTTAGGCAGGAAAGTTGGGGTCACTTTCATATCACCTCTGATGTCATGTTTACTGGCAGTGAACGCTGGATTTAACGGTTACCACAGGCTCTCTCTCTGCTCTTGTGGAGGCTAAATTAACGCTTTTCTGTTTATTACCTGCTCATTAAAAAGCATGGGTACCTGAAGCCATAATAGAAGCTTCCTTATCACTTATCCCCCTGCCACCACCCATTGCCCTTGCCAAGGACTTTTTTCCTTACATGTGGCGGCTTGGAAAGGCTGCCCTCCCCAACAACCCAGCAATCGTTGTTAAAAACTTTTTGTATTCTCAGTATTTATATGCTTGTATACACAGAGATGTGCATATTGTGTTTGTCACACGCATATAACATCGAAAACTCGGCAAGGTTAGTACTTATTATAGGAAGAAATGGTCAGAAAACAATTGTAGAGACACTGTGATCCATTCAAGGAGCATTTGCACTCCAGATTCAGGTATAAATCACCAGAGAATCCTATGAGCATGTGAAGATTCTCAACACCTGTCCTCATGACAAATGGAGACCACCAAACCAATTTTCTTGGTGACCTTATCTAAATTAGTTAGAAAATAACAGTTCAGATTTATGACTAGTTACAATTAAGCCCTTTGATACCTTCTAATTAAACCTGTAAAGATTTATTTCTGTATTATTCCTTTGGTAATCATTTAAAAATGATAAAAATGTAAATGAATATTACCCTCAAAAGGAGATGTTTCTATTTATCCTAAATAGACTCATACCCTTCCTTTCAAATGACTACATTTTAGGTTCAGATTTATGCTGCTCCAATGCAAATTTCAGGTCAGTCTTAAATAATTTATCTCCAAGTTTGTGCAAGTGTTAAACTTAATCTCTTAGAATATACATAAAGCAAACACCACTGTTTTTTCGCTCTTCTTTGTATGTCCCTCATTGCCCCACTTCCCATAGCCCAGTATTCAAAGGTTATTTTAAAAAACAGTAGGTCATTATAATAGCCAACAGAATGCCTAGTATAACAACCCGTTGTCGCCGAGTCGATTCCGACTCATAGCGACCCTATAGGACAGAGTAGAACTGCCCCATAAGGTTTCCAAGGAGCGTCTGGTGGATTTGAACTGCCGACCTTTTGGTTAGCAGCCGAGCTCTTAACCACTGTGCCACCAGGGGTCCCAAAAAAACCCGTTGTCGCCGAGTCGATTCTGACTCATAGCAACCTTATAGGACAGAGTAGAACTGCCCCATGATAGCCAGTACATCAAGGCTTTCTCAAATGGATAGTTTTTCTTCTTCAAGCCTTTGTCTGAGAAAAGATGTGTTCCTCACAACGACTCCCCGTAAACCAGTAAAACCAGTTGCCATCAAGTCGATTCAGACTCATGGTGACGTCACACGTGTCAGAGTAGAACTGAGCTCCATAGGGTTTTCAGTAGCTGATTTTTCAGAAGTAGATCGCCAGGCCCTTCTTCCAAGGCCCCTCTGGGTGGATCCAACCTCCAACCTTTCAGTTAGCAGCTGAGCACAGTAACTGTCTGCACCACTGACAGACTCCAAATGCCCGTAATACAATCACATTCGCTCAGAAACACGACGTTTGTGTCCCGCGTTAATCTTGAGCGCCAGAAGTGTGCAGCGCGGACCAGCCCAGGTTCTCATTCGTTCATTCGGGCTGTTTCTTTCCTCCCAGGTGAGTACAGCTACCTGGGGACAACTCTCCGCCAGGTGTCCATAGAGCCCATGCCTTCCCTCCTGGATGTCAGGCAGCTCATCACACTGTATGGAATCTTACCGTTAGGTAAGGACCTCCGTGTCCTACTGTGCCTGCCTACAAGCCTGGGGGCGCTGAGGGCTGGCTTTGACTGTGTAGCCCTGGTTGTCATCAAAAGCGTATTGCAGCCAACGAGCCATCCAATCAGTACCGCACTTTCCACCCTCTCCCCTCTCCCCTGGATCCTGGGACGGGGCTGGGCAGGGGACTGTACCTGGCATTTAGCCTCCCAGGTCAGATTAAAGGTGTCACCGAGTCAGCTGAGCTGAAGGCCGACCTCTGGTGCGTATGCTTTTGACACACTGTACCATCCTTGCAGACATGGGGGCCTCACCATGGAGTGATGGCCTCCAGGAAGCCTTGTCTCAGAAAGGCGTTTCAGGTTGTCTCTGGCCTTTCAGGTTCCCCGACAGTGCATGAGAAAGCTCCTTTGGTGAAGTCCCTGCTGCTGGCCGGGCCCTCTGGGGTTGGGAAGAAAATGCTGGTCCATGCCATCTGCACCGAGACCGGAGCCAACCTTTTCAACCTGTCTGCGTCCAACATCGCTGGGAAGTACCCCGGCCGGAGCGGCCTCCAGATGATGCTGCATGTCGTCTTCAAGGTACCCACGCGTCCTCAGCTTCCTATTCTCCTCCCCCTATTACATGCTCAGATCCTGCTTTCTTCGTGTCTTGCAGATAATTTCCCTAGGCCAACAAGCATGTCTCCCTTAAACTGGGCCATCACATCGCCCTGTAAATTAGGTAATTATTGAGTCTGGCCGGGCACCCAGCAATTAGAAACAGGTTCTTTCTTTGCATGAAAACCCCCATTCCACCCAGAGCAGCCTCCTTCCGCCAGAGGCATCCTTCCTGAAATGCTTGCTCATCTCACTGAAAACAAAACCCATGATTTCTTTTGTCAGCCCACTCGCTTCATCTGACATTTGCGTCTCCGGGTATTCACCCTCACATGGCATAATCAGCGAGCAGTGGTCCGTTCTCTGCATCAGCTCCTCATCCAGGTATTGTGAAGGAGCTGGCAGGGAGCTGAGTTAACCACGGAGGAGGGTGCCCCAGGAGATCAGACACACTGACCAGCTGTGTGAACTTGGATAAGCCCTTAGCCTCCCTGGGTGCCCGTTTTCTTATCACCAAAATGAAAGCATTGAAACAAATGATGCTGATGTGCTCCATCAGCTTGAAAAGCAACAATTCTCTGACGCCATTCACATAGCCAGACAGATAGATACATAGATAGACAATGGACAGACAGACAGATAGACGATAGGTAGGCAGATAGATAATAGGTAGACAGATGACAGATAAATGTTAGATAGACATATAGAGATACACAGTATACGCATACGCACAGATTAACATAAAGGTTACCAAGTTGTAAAGAATTTTGGTACAGGATATTTATATTTAATATTAAAACTTTACAGGATTTAGTTTTTATTTGGTTGAGTTGCTCAAGGTTATCATTGTGGATGTTGTTAGTGAGTGTCCAGACAGTTTCCGACTCCTGGTGACTATGCATGATGGAGCAAAATGCTCCCCAGTCCTGTACACCATCCCCGTGATCGGTTTTAGATCAGACCCTTGTGGTCCACAGGGTTTTCACTGGCTGATTTTCAGAAGTGGATCTCCAGGCCTTTCTTCCTAGTCTTAATGTGGAAGCTCCACTGAAACCCATTCAGCATCACAGCAGCACACAAGCCTCCACTGACAGACAGTGTGGCTGCGCATGAGGTGCACTGGCCAGGAGTCAAACCCGGGTCTCCTGCATGGAAGGGGAGAAATCTACCATTCAAGCACCACTGCCCTCGTTGTGGATATGAACTGTTATTTTATAGGTAATTGTCAAAGTTGCTAGAATGCCAGATAAGCCCGCTTTCACTTTATCAAAACTTACCGGGGACAAGGGCTGTCCCACTCTTCCGGCTGGAAGCTGGCTCTGCATCTACTTCCTGTGTTGTTGTTGGGTGCCGTCAAGTCGATTCCAACTCACAGCAGCTCCATGTGCTTTCGAGGAGATGGTTACAAACTAAACATTACCTGTAGGAGCGGTCCCTTTTCGGTATCATCCTAATGGCCAAAGATGCGGAAGTGAAGGCCGTGGGATGTCTTTCCTTAGCCATGCGATCCCACCTGTCCTTTTCTCTCTTCCTGGTCCGGAAGGAAGGAATCCATGGAGAGAGGACTTTAAAATGCTGGAATGTGGGAGAGGAGGAAGGTAGGTAGGGAACAAAAGAAGGTCAGGAAGCTTCGCAGAGAACCTCCCATGGTTGTGTTGTTCTATTCAGTCTCCACCACAGCCCAGTGAAGTGTTTACCATTACTGTCACTTCCCAGAGAAAGAAGCCGGGGCCCCGAAAAGTTATCAAGTCGCTTGTCTCAGGCCACGGAGATTGAGTGGCCAAACTGGGATTAACACCAAGGTCCTTCTCTTCTTTTTCCTCCTGCAATGTTTTTATTAAAGGAAAATTTATGTACAGTGAAATGCACAAATCTCAAGCGTACGTTTTCGTAAGTTTTGAAAAATGTATACAATTGTGTAACCGCCATGTGCGTTTACGGGTGATTTCTGGCCGTCGTACAACTTCTTTTACGAAATGACTGTTGCAGTCATCCGCCTGCTTTTCACCGGACTGTTGGTCCTGTGATTTGTAACTGTTTTTTATATTTTCTGAAGACAAGTTCTCTGCCAGACTCATGTACTGCAAATGTTTTCTCTCAACCTGCAGCGTGCCTTTTCATTTACTTCTGGATTTTTTTAATTTACGTTTTCTATCAATTACGGAAAGAAGGTGTTAACGCCTCCAGTTATGACTGTGGGTTTCTGTATGTCTCCCTTTCTTTCTGTCACTTTGTGCCTCAGAAGGACCTGGGTTCGAATCCCAGCCTGGCCACTGGGATTCAGTGAAGCGCTGTCATGAGACACATCCACATTCAGGATTTTCATGTCTTCCTGACCGATTATTGTATCATTATGAAGTGTCCCTTTTTGTCTCTGGAAACTAGCCCTTGTCTTGAAGTCTGCTGTGTCTGATATGCAGGTAGCCACATCACCTTTCTCCTGCACGCTGTATATGGTATACTTTCGTACCATTTTATTTTCAGAGTACCTGTGTCTTTATTGTTAACGGACATTTCTTGTGGACAGCACACAGTGGGGTCTTGCTTTCTTATTCAATCTGATAATGTCGTTGTTCGTTGTCTTCAAGTCAGCTCATGGCGACCCCATGTACAACAGAACAAAACGTTGCCCAGTCCTGCGCCATCCTCACAATCTTGGTATGTTTGAGCTCATTGTTGCAGCCACCCTGTTAATCCCTCTGGTGAAGGGTTTCTCTCATTTTCACTGACCCTTTACTTTACCAAACATTGTGTCCTATTCTAGCAATTGGTCTTTCCTGATGGTGTGATTCTTATGATAGCTACCATTTAATTGTAGTGTTTGTTTCATTTACATTAAACGTAAGCATTTAATGTAACAAACGTGCTATTTGTTCTCTATTTGTCCAATTTCTTTTTGTTCTTCTATTTCTCCTTTCTGGCCTTTTTTGGGCTTAGCTCAGTACTTTTTAGTATTCCATTTAAATGTTTCTATTATCATTTTAGAAATACTCCTTTTTTTTTTTTCTTTTAGTGGTTTCTCTACAGATTACAGCGTCATTGTTGTTAGGTGCCGTCAAGTCGGTTCCTCACAGCGACCCTATGTACAACAGAATGAAACACTGCCCAGTCCTGCACCATCTTCACAATCATTTTTATGTCTGATCCCATTTGTCCTAGTCATCTAGTGCTGCTATAACAGGAATACCACAAGTGGATGGCTTTTAACAAAGAGAAGTTTATATTCTCTCACAGTCTAGTAGGCTACAAGTCCAAATTCAAGGCATCAACTCCAGAGGAAGGCTTTCTCTCTCTGTCAGCTCTAGAGAAAGGTCCTTGTGATGCATCAGTCTTCCCTTGGTCTCAGAGCATCTCAGCACAGGAACCTCAGGTCCAAAGGACGCGCTGTGCTCCCGGCACTGCTTTCTTGGTGGTATGAGGTCCCCATGTCTCTCTGCTTGCTTCTCTCTTTTATATCTCAAAAGAGATTGGCTTAAAAAAAAAGAGATTGGCTTAAGCCACTACCTAATCTTGTAGACCTCATCAATATAACTGCTACTAATCCATCTTATTACATCATAGTGATAGAGTTTACAACATAGGGAAATCACATCAGATTACAAAAAATGGTACACAATCATACAGTACTGGGAATCATGACCCAGCCAAGTTGACAGATATTTTGGGGGGACACAATTCAATACATGACACCATTGTTGCAGCCACTGTGTCAATCCATCTCGTTGAGGGTCTTGTTCTTTTTTGCTGACCCTGTACCTTACAAGCATGATGTATTTCTCCAGGAACTGGTCCCTCCTAACAACATTTTCAAAGTACTTGACACAAAGTCTTGCCATCCTTGCTTCTAAAGAGAATTCTGGCTGTACTTCTTCCAAGACAGATTTGTTCCTTCTTCTGGCAGTCCATGGTATAGTCAGTATTCTTCACCAACACCATATTCAAAGGCATCAATTCTTCTTTGGTCTTCCTTATTCATTGTCCAGCTTTCCTATGCATATGAAGTGACGAAAATATCACGGTTTGGGTCAGGTGCCCCTTAGTCATCAAAGTGACATCTTTACTTTTCAACTCTTTAAAGAAGTCTTTTGCAGCAGATATGCCCAATGCAATACATTGTTTGATTTCTTGATTGCCAGTTCCATGGGTGTTGATTGTGGATCCAAGTAAAATGAAATCCTTGACAACCTCAATCTTTTCTCTGTTTATCATGATGTTCTTTATTGGTCGAGTTGTAAGGATTTTTGTTTTCTTTATGTTGAGGTGTAATCCATACTGAAGGCTGTGGTCTTTGATCTTCATCAGTGAGTGCTTCAAGTCCTCTTCACTTTCAGCAATATTTGCATATCGCAGGTTGTTAATGAGTCTTCCTCCAATCCTGATATCCCGTTCTTCTTCAAATAGTCTGGCTTCTCGGATTATTTGCTCACCATACAGATTAAGTATCGTGAGAGGATACAACCCTGACCCCCACCTTTTCTGATATTAAACTACTCAGTATCCCTTTGTTCTGTTCAAACAACTGCCTCTTGGTCTATGTACAAGTTCCACATGAGCACAAACAAGTGTTCTGGGATTCCCATTCTTCACAATGTTATTCATAATTTGTAATGATCTACACAGTTGGATGCATTTTCATATTCAATAAAACACAGGTAAACATCTTTCTGGTATTCTCTGCTTTCAGCCAAGATCCGTCTGACATCAGCAATGATATCCCTCATTCCATGTCCTCTTCTGTATCTAGCTTGAATTTCTGGCAGTTCCCTATTGATATACTGCTACAGCTATTCAGCAAAATTTTATTTGTGTGTAGTATTAATGATACTGTTTGATAATTTCCACATTCAGTTGGATCACCTTTCTTTGGAATGGACACAAATATGGATCTCTTCCAGTTGGTTGGCCAGGTGGCTGTCTTCTAAATTTCTTGGCATAGATGAGTGAACACCTCCAGCACTGCATCTGTTTGTTGAAACATCTCA